AGTGCGAGAAGCCCATAGTAATTGGTTCCAAAGCTGGCTTTCAGGTTCCCCATGGCTCACCATCCTGCTGTCCTCCCTGGTGGGCCCCCTCATCTTGGGGCCTTACGCCATTCACCAGGTTGTGTCCCTTACACCACTTCTCTCGTAATGCTCACCCAGGTGGTAGAGGAGGTGGCCCATAACGAAAGCCCTGACAGCCCTTCAGTCAACATTGCCCCTTAAGAAATCAATACCAATCTCTAAGGCTTTGCCCCCACTCCACACACTTGGCTGGATAGTCAATGATGGGTAAGATTTCTAGAGGGAAACAACCTAAGACTGGCACAGCCACCAGAGGGAATGGAGGTGAGGCTGCGAAGGTTAGCCGCCTCCAGCTGCCTTATTAAAACAAAACAGGGTATATGACGGGGCTTAAAAACTAACACCACCATAAGTGACATTACAAGTGGTGCAATTATGGGCCCACAAGGGCGTATTAATGTGGCAGCCTAAGACGGTGCCAGGAAGAAGTATGGTGGAGGTGTCTGTGGGAACCTTGCCTTAGCCATTATTGGCCAAAAACGTGCTTCCACGCTCGAGGTTGCAATAGCTAGGCATTGAGACAGGATGCATGCTCTCTTGACCTTTAAGCTGATAAGATTATGTAAAAAACCTTCCTTCCCCATTTGCCTTTAAAAGCAAGTGCTTGTTTGGTAGTAAACGGAACTGCCTCAACAGAACCCCTGCCACGTCTGAGTGTCCTTTAACCAGGCTGTTTTGGGGGCTGGCGGTGTGCTCACCTCTCTTCACGGTTCTCTTCTCCCATCTCCTTCCAAAGGGGACTGGAGGGAAAGGGGAATCCGGGCCATTTGCTCGACTATCAAAAGGAATGAGGCTAGGGCTGTTACTAATGATAGATTGAAAAGAGCACAATATCCTGAACCTCTGTTTAGATGACAAGATGTCAGGAGGGCATGATATGGATATCACTGGCCATGCAAAACAGTTCCATTTGGTTTGTGGCATTTACGTACTTCAGGAGCTGAATTTATCTCCATTCCTGCCACACAACTGATAAAGCTCTGTTTGCTATGCCAGGCAAGATGGAAGAGCAGGGTATAACTGGTTCTAGAAAATGAAAATGTATCATTATGTTTCTTTTATTAGAGGCCCTGATGCATATGTTCTTACCCTAGTTTCAATGACTGGGATCCAAGTTTTAAGGTGAATATTTCATTGTCCTTGATAGTGCTGAACATTAGTGTGGAAATAAGACATAAAATTAGAAGACTTGGACTCTAGACCTCACACTTGACCTTAGATAACTCAGTTTAGATAACTGGAGTTTTCTTAGCTATAAGGTAGAGAAAATAATGCTTTTGGGTTGTTCTATGCTGTAAACATCGAAAAGAAGAAAATAAGAAAGTTAGTGGGCTTTGAAAACTTTAAGAGTCTACACTAACACAACTATATATCTGGTTCTTCTGAATTCCCTCTCTTACTATAAAAATTCTAGATTTCAGGTCAGGTTGTTTTATGAAGTCTCACTGGTGTTAACAAATCCAAATAAATAAACACTGCTCCTGTTTATGTCTGTATGACAGCTAATACCACTGCAGTTAATTAAAGCATGGAGAAACCCATGGAATTTCTATAGGAAAAGTTTATTTCACTGGAAGTAGCCATTACCACTAAGCAATAGGAGGCTTTGTCAGTGACTCTCAATTTGCAAATACACTTTTTCATCTTAAGCAACAACTAAGAGAAGTGAGATTTAATTGAAGGCTATCACTGGACAAACACCATCAAGAAGGTATTTTTTACTTGGTTTCTTTCTGTTGTGTCTTTTTTAGTATCCTTTTCTCTTCTCCACTCCCTCATCTTCTTCCACAAATATATGCTGAGTTTCAATTCTGTGACAATTGGGGCATTAGGCACCTACATAAAACAATCTTTTACTTCTGACCAGAATTTGAATTTGGTGATATGATGTCTATTTTATACATGAGAACACGTGCTCTGTGAGGTGCAATGCCCCGTACCCAAAATGTGGAAAAGCAGGTCTGTCTCCTGCTCAAAGTAAATAAACATTGAATACTGCAGCACATAGCAAAAGTCTTCAATGGAGAATCACAGAAACCAATTAATACTAAGTCAAAGGGCATGTTATTGGCCTCTCTGAGGTCTGAATAAACAGGTGTGTTAATTTCCCAGATTTAGAAGTAATTAGTGACTCATTTCTCTGGAATATTAAAGTTCTTCATTTAAAGGCAACTGGATAAGGAACATTCTTGTTTAAAAACATAATATCTTAATAAAACTAACCATAAAATTGTGCTTGGTGGGGAGAGCATTGAAACAGGATCACGTGGCCCAAGTGAAGTCCTAACAATAGGAAAGCTCATGTATGAATGGTATAGGAGGTGCTCAGTTTCCCTGGATTCAGGTTTCAGGACACAGCTCTGGGTTTTAAGCTACTCCCTGAGGTCTCAGGCCCCTCCTCTGGGCCCTCCCCTAGAGGAGAGATACTGTTGCCAGTTAGACCTATTTTCAGCACCAACACAGGGAAAATGACACCACGAGGGGCTGGCTTATGCAAATCCAGTGGCTGGACATGCTCAGTAGAGTAGGGTTATGTAACCCAGATGGTTAAATGACCTTCCACTAATAGATGCTAGAAAGCACAGAGCATTTTAGAATGTGCCTGGTGCCTGTGACAAGATTTGACCAATGATCTTGCTCTGGGAAGAGACCAAGTGAGCATGTGCAGGACTAAATGTTACAAAACTGGGAACCGTCCCCTTAACTGAATATCCATTAGGTAGAGAAACTATAAAAGCCACATCCCAGCAGAAGGTGGGGTTGTTGCTCCCTTTCCTGGAGGCAACCTGCACTTCACTGGCTGAGGTTTGTATACTTTACTTTGTATCAAACTTAATCTCAGCAAGCGCTGATTAATCTCTTTTTTTTTTTTTCCTTTTTGTCTTTTTTTACTGACTGGTAACGGGATCACAACCCTCGGTGTCGCGCCCATACCGCAGACCCGCAACGGGATCGCAACCCTCGGTGTTGCGCCCGCACTGCGCTCAGCCAGTGAGGGGGAACCGGTCTCCACATGGGATCCGAACCCTCGGCGGGAGTGCCGCTGCGCTCCCAAGCGGCGCACTCTCCAGTGCGCCACCGGGCCAGCCCGCTGATTAATCTCTTGAGCCAGCCTGCATTCTGTACTGAACTTTAAGTATGTGTTTCTTGCTACTCTTAAACTTGGTGTGGGCCCTGCTCAGTCTCTGGAACTATGCCGCACGCTCGCTATGGAGCCTGTATTTCTTATCTACTATCTTAAACTTGTTCTCACTTTCTACTCTGACTCTGCCCTTGAATTCTTTCCTGTAGTGGAGTCAAAAACCTGGTAAGAGGACTGGGTGGGTAGAGGTTGACTATCAGGCCCTCCTGGACCCTACCTCCAGCATCACAAAGAAACGGAGGTTAAAAAAAAAAAAGACATATTGATTGTGATAGGCAATATAAATATATAAGTAAACATATATTGTTCTATTTTATGTATAATATAGAAATACACTTATAAATAAATTAATATATAATATATAATCATATATAATATTAATTTATTTATATAGATATAAATATTTATTGTTTTCTAAAAAAAAGACATATTGACTGGGTTTGAAATACAGGAGCGTTTGTGTGGTTCTGTGTGTGTGTGTTTGCATTTATATATCTAGGTAAATTTAGACGAGCCTGGAGAATTAACAAGGGCGAGAATTTGACCAGGTTTGCATCTTACAAAAACATATTTAAAGAGAGGAGAGACTGGGTTGGAAACCATTGCAGAAATACAATAACATATAGTGGAGACATTAACTTAAATTTATGGCGATGGATTTGGAAAGAAATTCTAGCCCTTGGCTTACAAAAGTACATAGAAAAGACCTGAGTCTTCAGGTACACAATGCCCACAGACAAGCTTGAATACAAACAGAGAATTTGCACAAAAATAGGTATCTATGCCTTCTTACTATGATGAAATACATACTATACTTCCATTTACAAATGCATTCCTTCATCACTGGAAGCAGAAGTTCAGTTCAGATCTGCACTACAGATCTGTCTAGCTACAAACTTACCTCTCCTTGACAGTTTTACCTGTTATTTTGAAAATTTAAGGAAGTTACTTGGTTACTTATTTTTAATTTGAGGGAATTTTAAGTTGTTATTCATGAAATGCAAAGATTAAGTGCATTTGAATAAATATGTGAGGATATTTCATGTTGCTGTGTAGCCTGTTCACACAGATCTATTTTGCACACTAGATTTTCCAGGGACTTGAAGCTACCTGCTGTTCTGAACCTGTTTATATGATTTAGATGCAGTCATTTGTGATGGAATTTTATGAATATTGTGAAAAATGTTATACATCCAGTTGGGAGATATGATGAAATGGCATAACACAAGTTTAACCTATAATTTTGATAAGTAGTTTTCAAACAGGTTTCAGGGATTTGATGGAATCCTAAAGGGGAAGATAGCAATTTCATTTTTGAAGGGGTTAACGCTATTTTGCCTATAGATTTCAATTTTGGATTAACAAAATAATTGTCATAATTATTTCACAATTTTAATGTAAGTAGAGCTAGACAAGTCTTTTACTTAGCACGATTTTGAGATCAGTCTCATATTTTAGCTGACATCACTAGATAACTTCGAGTAATTCTGCTCTTATTTATGTTTTTACAAGTAATTGATATAACACTGTAATAGTCACATTGCTACAAACGTTTGAGAAGAGATATGCAAATATTTATCTCATTGTTGATAAAATATATAAAATATTGATAAACACAAAGCAGAAATTTATTGAGAAACATTTATAAGCATTAGGTGTTGAATGTATAGATGTTACTATTCAAAGTACATCTATTGTGGGATGCTTTTTGTAAATTCTGACTGATGTTTAAAATAAGAGTGAGAAATAGCCAATTAAGTAGTAAATGGAAACCCAGCTAATAATGTTCCTCTGCGTCGTCTTCTACGATTAAGTACATTTTTATTACTCGGTCTATAGGAGTCTTAACAGAGTCGTATGTCCATCCCTTCCTGATAAACAGCTTCTCAAGGAATTCGGGCATCCTGTAGCCCTTGCTTAGAATGAAATCCTTAAAGGCAATTGTTCCATAAAGTTCTTCAAGAATGTCCTTTTCAGGTGCCTTTCCAAAACACTCACCTTGAGTTTCAAGTAAGACCTTGGGGTCAATCAAAGGTTCATCATTTATTAGTTTTTTCCACAACTTAGGCTTCAGGTACCATGCTCCATACCGCATCTTCACCCAGTTTGGTTGATAAAGATTCTGTGGTTTGTGGAGTTTCCACCTGATGTCTGGTTCCTGTATGGAGAATTTTATCTTTTCCTTTTTCTTTAGCCCCAGAACGTAATTTAGCTCTGAAGGAAGCTGACTAACTTTCTTTATGTGGAGGTCTTTGTGGGTTGGTTTGCATTCAGCATAGTCAACTTCAAATTGTTTCATGATGAACTCTTCGTCAATGCCCGAGTCTCCAAAAGTAGCAACCCATTTGCAGAAGCTACGAACTCCTCTTGGTATGTGTTTATGTTTAAGAGATTCAGGGAGCAAATCCTGTGCGCTTGGCGTCTCTTCATGAATCGAATTGTTTCGATGTGACCCGGGAATCTTGGGAGGGTTCAGGAAGACTTTCCGAGATCGGTGTTGACAAAGCTTTGTGGGTTCCTTGGTTCTTTTCCTGTGGCCCTCACAGAAAGCCCACGTGTCCTCCAACTTCCTGTCAGGATCCAGCACTTGCAGCACCTTCAACAAGAGATCTGCAGGGATATCTTCTTCCAGATTCGGGTACAGAGCTAGGGGATGCTCGGTCAGGCGGGCTTCAACATTCTCTACGAATGCCTTCCGTGCCAGCTGGGCTGGTGAGAGCGTGGAAAACAGGCCTGCTTCCTTGGTCAGCTTTCTCCGACTCGTTTTGGGGGCGGGTTGGGGAACTCTGTGAGAAATCATGGGGAGAAAGGCCTCCTTAGGGCCGCGAGTGATAAGACCTTCACAAGGTGGACAGCCTGTTCTGAAGTCGTCCAGCCCTTCTTTCACAAATATCCACTGCCGGCTGTTCAGGGAGGTGGGGAATCTCAGAAGCTTGTTCTTGTGCTTTGCGAAGCACTTGGAAGGTAGACGGTCTTTGTACCAGGGCTTGCAGTGCATGCCCAGGGGCATCGGTTCCAGCACTCGTGGCTTTGACAGCCACCAGTCATCGGCCATGGTGCCCCTGGCTCCTGAGCCACAGCCCAGCCTCAGCGGTTTGTTTTCACCAAGCATGCTGGTTGCTAGGAGACCGAAAGCTGCATGCAGCCCTGATTCTACTGGGGATCTGTGGTGACTGAGGGTCCAACCCCCAGCTCATTCCATGTTGTTTTCCATTGCATGGACCGAACACTATTTAGCCATTTGCCTTTTGATGGGGCATTTGAGCTGTTTCCTGCTTGGACTATTACAGAGAAAGCTTCTATGAACATTCGTGTTCATGTCTTTGTGTGCACGTATATTTTCATTTCTCCTGGGCTAACTTTTAGCTAGGAGTCCACTGGTCAGATCATATGATAGGTGTATGTTAACATTTTTATGAAACCATCAAGCTTTTCTAAAGTGGTTGTACTCTTTATTTGTATTTATTAAGTTTTTAATTGAGAGATAAAATTGTAGGTATTATGTACAATGTGAACTTTAGAAGGATATATATACACATTGTGGAATGACTAAATTTAGCTAACTAATGCATGCATTACCACACATAGTTATCATTTTTGTGATAATACTTAACATCCACTTTCAGCATTTTTCAAGAATGCAATATATTGTTATTAACTATAGTCACCATGTTATACTATAGGTTACTTGAACTTATTCCTCAAACTGAAATTTTGTATACTTTGAGCATGTGGCTGTATTATTTTATATTTTTACTAGCAGTGTATAAGAATTGCAATTTCTCTACATACTCCCCAACACTTGGTATTGTTAGTCGTTTTAATTTTGGCTATACTAATAGGTGCATAGTGGTATCTGACAGCAGTTTTGATTTGCATTTTCCTAATGACTAAATTTGTTCATATGCTTTTTTGCCATCCTTATCTTTTCTATGAAGTGTCTGCTCAAATTTAACTTTTTAAAAACTCATTATTTTTTATTATTAATAGCATATTCATTATTATAAATCATAATTTTTCTTTATGCCCTTTATTTGACCCGTTCTTCCCCAAAACCCCTCCCTCCCTTCCCCCATCTCCAGTAACCTTAGGTTTGTTCTCTCCTGAAAGTTCAATGAATTATTGCGGTCTTTCTTTCTTTCTTAGCACCCAGTTATGAGTGAGAACATGGGGTATTTCTCTTTCCTAGTTTGGCTTATTTCACTAAACATAATTTCTTCCAGACTCATCCATGTGGCTACAAATGGCAGGATTTCGTTCTTTTTTATGTCTGAGTAGTATTCCACTGTGTATATACGCCACATTTTCTCTATCCACTTGTCCGTTGATGGACACTTAAGTTGTTTCTATATTTTGGGTATTGTAAACAGAGATGCAATGAACCTGGGAATGCAGGTATCCTTTCGACACAATGATCTCCATTCCTTTGGATATATGCCCAGTAGTGGGATTGCTGGATCATATGGTAGCTCCATCTACAGTTGTTTGCACAACCTCCATACTGTTTTCCATAATGGCTCTGCTAATTTACAGTCTCGCCAGCAGTGTAGAAGAGCTCCCCTTTCCTTGCATCCTCACCAGCATTTGTTGTTCTCAGTTTTTAAATGAAATTGGACCTGTACCTCTCACCATATACCAAAATCAACTCAAAATGGATTAAAGACTTAAATATAAGACCTGAAATCATAAAATTTCTAAAGGGAAATATAGGGGAAACACTCCAGGTAATAGGACTGGACAAAGACTTTATGAATAAGACCTCTGAAAGCATGAGCAAAAGAAAAAATAAATAAATGGGATTATATCAAACTAAAAAGCTTCTGCACAGCAAAGGAAACAATCAACAGAGCAGGAAGACAACCTATGGAAATGGAGAAAATATTTGCACACTATACATCCAACAAGGGATTAATATCCAGAGTATAGAAAGAACTCAAACAACTATACAGTAAAAAATAATGATAATAATCTGTTTTTAAAATGGGCAAAGGAGATGAATAGACACTTTTCAGGGAAGACATACAAATGGCCAACAGGTATATGAAAAAATGCTCAGCATCACTAGTCATCAGAGAAATGTAAATCAAAACCACATTGAGATATCATCTCACCACTGTTAGAATGTTCAAGTTTTTTGACATTTTGAAATTGTGTTGCTTGATAACTTATTGAGTTTTAAGTATTCTTGATGTATTTGGGATGTAAGTCCTTAATCAGATATATGATTTGCAACTTTTTCCCTCCGTCCTTGGCTTTTCCTTTTGTTGTCTTTCAAAGAGCAGAAGTCTTTAAATTTAATGAAATCTAATTTATCAATTTGTTCTTTTATGGATTGTTTGGGTTTTTTGTTATATCTAAGAAAACATTGCCTAAAAAAACATTACAAGGACTTGTTATATAGATCTGTGATCTATTTTAAGTTTAAAAATGGAACAGGATATGGATTTTTTATTTAAAAATTTTTTTCTGTTGCCTACAGATATCCAATAGTTTCAGAACTTTTTTGAAATGACTTTCTTTTCTCCACAGAATTACCTTTGCAACTTTGAAGAATATCAGTTGTCTGTATTTCTCTTGGTCCACTTCTGCATATTGTCTTCTGTTCCGTTGGTTTTTCTCTCTTTACACCAATTCCATACTTGGTTACATGAGCTTTAAAATAAGTCTTGTAATGAGGCTGTATTCGTTCTCCAACAATGTTCTTTTACAGAGTTATTTTTGCTCTTCTAGGTTTTTGAATTCCTATAGAAATTTTAAAATCATTTTGTCAATGTCTAAAAAAGAGACCTGTTGGGATTTTGATTAGGACTCTGTTCAATCTATGGATCTGTTTGGGAATAATTGACATCCTAACAATATTGAGTTTTCTGTTCCCTGAGAAAGGTACATCTTTCTATTTCTTTATGTGATTGTTAATTAATCTCAAGAACAGTTTGTAGTTTTTAGTGTATAGGTCTTTTACATCTTTTTGTTCTCCAGATTTTCCCTAAATGTTTAATGTTTTTGATACTATTATATGTAATATTGCATTTTTTAATTGCAATGTCTAATTGTTCATTGTTAGCACATATAAATATAATTGTACATTGATCTTATATCAATCAACTTTGGAATACTCACTTCTTAGTTCAGGAATTTTTATAAATTCCATTTTATTTTCTTCATACATAGTTATGTCATCTGCAAATAAAAACAGTTTTCTTTCTTCCCTTGCAACTTGAACACCTTTTTATCCTAGCTTTATTGCACTGGCTTGAATCTATGTATAATGTTGACTAGAAGTGATGAGAGTGGAAATCTTTGTCTTTTTTCTGATCTTGGGGGAAAGCAAATAAGTAAGGTATTAGCTGTAGGGTTTTTGTACATAGTGTAGACTTTCTCAGTTTGGAGAAATTCCCTTATATTCCTAGTGTTCTGAGAGTTTGTGACAAATACTTTGTTTTAAGTCAGTGGATTGTGTCAAATGTTTTTCTGAGCCCATTAAGATGTTCATACAGGTTTTCTTTTATAATTTTGTTAAAATAATAAGTTTTATTGATTGACTTCCAAGTGGTAAGCATACATTGAATTCCTAGAATAAGCCTCACTTTGTTTTTATGCTCTGTATTTATCCTCTGCATATGATAGTTGCTAAAATATTGCGAAAATACTTTTGCGTCAGTGTTTGTACGTCCTATCTGGTGACTTTTCCTTTAGTGTCATTGTTTGGCATTGCTATTAAAGTAATTCCAGCTTCATAAAATGGTTTGAAAAAGAGCTCATTGTCTTCATTTTCTGGAAGAATTTGTGTACGATTGGTATTATTTGTTCCTTAAATTTTTGTAGAGTTCACCAGAGAGGCAAACCTAGGCCTGGGGCTTTCTTTGTGGGAAGGTTTTTTGTTTTGTTTTTCTTTTAACTATGAGTTCACTTTCTTTAATAGGCATAAAATATTCAGATTATCTATTTACATTTTTTCATGAACTTGGTTAGTTTGTGTATTTCAAAGAATCTATCTGTTTTATAAATGTTGTCAAAATTAGTGCTGTAAAGTGTTCATATTATTCCCTTGTCATCTTGTAAATATCTGTGGAATCTGTGGTGATGTCACCACTTTTGTTACTGATTTTAGTAATTTGTGTCTTCTTTTTTTTCTTGATCAGACTGGCTGAAGTTTAGTACATTTTATTGATCTTCTTAAAGAACCAGATTTTAATTTCATTGATTTATCTCTGTTTTCTATTTGATTGAGTTTGCCTGTCAATTTTTTTCTATTGCCAATATCCATTTTGTTATTATATAAGGGGTCTTCAAAACCTTCATGGAATGATTCGTATAATCTTTCAATTTCATTTTCCATAAACTTTTTGAAGTTCCTTCATGTATGTAATAAAATACACACTAGTTTTTAAAAAATTGCTTTTCCTTAAACATTATGTCACTGTTTATCTTATTTTAATTATTTTTTCTGTTGATTTCAATATAGAAAGATTTTATGTATTTACTCACGTTATCAGTTTCAGTAATCTTTATTCCTTTGTGTAGATTCATATTTTCATCTGGTATAATTTTCATTCTGACTGAACAAAATCCTTCAACATTTTTTGTACTCTGTTTCTTACTGATGAATGTGTTCATCTTTTGCATGACTGAAAAGTTTTATTTTGTCTTTGTTTACAAAGCTGTTTTCACTGTGTGTAGAATTCTAGGTTGACCGTTTTTCATTTCTTTTTGCACTTTAAGAAGGTCGCTGCCCTGTTTTCTCACTTGCATTTTTTCAGACGAGAAACCTGATTTCACCCTGATTTTTCTTTGTATTGAATGTCTTTTTTTCTCTGGCTACTCTTAAGATTTTCTATTTATGACTGTTTCTCAGCAATATAATGATGATGTGACTTGTTGTCATTTTTTGTGTTTCTTGTGCTGGAGGATTATCAAAGTTATTGGATATTTGGGTTTTCAGTTTTCATCAAACTTGGAAAAAATTGCCATTGTCTCTACAAATATGTTTTTTGTTCTGCCTTCTCTCTCCTCTTCTTCAAAAACTCCAATTACATATTTGTTAGATTGCTTCAA